TTATTAATAAATAAATAAAAATACATCTTCGTTACAGCAAATAAATGTGCTTTTTGTATATTTTGTGTGTGTGTGTGTGTGTGTGTGTGTGTGTGTGTGTGTGTGTGTGTGTGTATGTTTGTGTGTGAATTTAGGCTTCTCACACATCTTCACAGACCCAGTTTGAGAAATTATTAAATAACATACGTGTGTGGGTCCACCTTTGGACTGCTGGTCTATGACGTTTTAAAGTGTTTTTTTTTTTTTTTTTTTTTTTTTACAGCATGAGCTGATTTGGTGAAAACATGACAAACAACAAGTCTAAATGTTTTTTTTTTTTAATTATCCACCAGAAAATCACATCAAATCAATAGAAACTCCTCGTTTGTCAACAGCCTTATTTAGGTTTGAGGCGCAGATCCATTCACTGACACATCCATCCATCACCGCCTTGATTGTTGGCGGAGCCTTGCTGGAGGCCAACCCAGCTGCTCTGACTTTTGCGCATGCCCCTTGCCTCGCTCCTCCTCCACAGCGGTCTCCATGGTAACGGACGGAGGAGAGAGCAGCTTAGCAACACAGAGAGGGAGAGAGAGAGAGAGGAGGAGGAGGAGGAGAGGGAGAGCATTTCTGGATCAGACAGCTTGGTGCCATCCATATAACACTCAGAGGGTAAGAAGAAGAGCAGCGCCATTGGCAAACAGCCGTGAATTTGCTGTAGAGATGTAAGTGTCATATTTTATCCTGTAGTTATTATGGGATGTCAGAGTGACAATAAGTTTAGGGTTTTGTAGTAGACTGCTCAGGTAGGATAGTTTCCATCATGTTGCTGTGATTGAATGATGCTGCGTTATTTTTTTTTAAATATGATTTGTAATTTCCTGCGTCACTCTCCACAGTCATAATGAAGTTCCTGGTGGTGTTGGTGGGAGCTGGGGCTCTAGCCGTCCTCGGCGCGGTCATCTGCATCATCGCCAGCGTTTACCCTCGGAAGCGCGGCTCGCCTCCCAGCGACAACGGCACGCTGACCTCGGAGGCGCTGCTGCAGCCCCTGGAGCCCRGCTCGGTGGCGCACGCCGGCCCGCTGGGCGCACTCCACGGGGCGGGCTCCTACGACGTCGACGGCAACGGGCTCGGCGGGCTCGACTTGGACGTCCCCGCTCTGAACGAGCTCAACCTCGGGAAGGAGACAGGAGGTGGTGGTGGAGGAGGAGGAGGCTCGGCAAAGCAGTTCAGCTTCAGCCGACTCATCTGCACTCCTGTACCTGTTGGAGACTGCAGGAGCAAAGAGCTGAGGCAGGAGCAGCAGGACGACCCGCTGTACGGAGCCGCCGCCGCCGCCGCCGCCGGAGATGAGGACCTCCGGACGACCGCGGAGGAGCTCCGGCAGATGGTGCTGCGGCAGAACGACCAGATCCTCATGGACCAGAGGACGATCCGGGAGCTGACGGGGAAGCTGAGTGAGTGCGAGAGCGGCCTGGAGGATGACAGGAGTGCCCCGGCGCGGAGCATCGGAGTGTGGAGCGGGAACCGCCGCATCATGGCCGGGGACGAAGTGAGCTCATCCGCCGCGGCGCAGCTGCAGACGGCTCGGGCCGTGGAGGAGCTGGCCAGGGCCATCATGGATCTGAAGGACCGCATAGATAAACTTGAGGTGGGTCTTTCCTATTAAAACATATGACTGAGCAACTTGGACCACACTTATTGAACTATTTCTTTTGTGTGTGTGTGTGTGTGTGTGAGCAACAAAATTGTAGGGGCTAATGCCCCCAACCCCAACCCAATCGAACGGTCCTAAACTGTTGGTAAAATATCAAATGAATTGCTCAACCAATTTTAATGTAACTTAAAAAAAACCAATCACTGCAGCTCATTGAATTTTTTGAGATGAGCACCACAGCCAATTGAGCCTAAAGTGGCTATAAGTGCATTTTACAAATATTGTGGTCACACTTAATCAGCTGAGCATCATTCCTTTTTTTTTCTGTTTTGAGCATCATTCCTAACATATTTTTTGAACACTACACATTGTGCAGCATTTTTACTTAACACATTGGCAATACCTGTTGACTCCAACATTGTCTGGCTGTTAGCAAAATATGCGCAAACGGATGGATCTGATGAAACACTCAGAGAGTAATCATTGGATGTAGGCCACATCTATAGATTCACTTCTGGAGTGATATTAATTCAAGTTCACAGCTAATTAACAATAATGACCACAAAAAATAATAAAAAAAACGTAATCAGTTTTACAGCTGTTGAGCTAAAGTTTGGTGTGGTAGTAGCTGAGAGTCATACTCACCACTCAACACACAGGCAACACTGTTATTTCATGAACCACTGATCTGGTTTTAGCGAAACCCTCAGAAAGAAATCACCTTCAGTACATCACAAGTCACCGTAAGCCAAGATCAACACAAAAGTGACAACTCAGCAGATTCTGCACCTAATGAGCTAAAATTGTAGTTGATCTCAGTCAGGTACTCTGAGCACTAACACATCTTGGGAGATCTCGATGGAAACAGTTGTAACGGCATGCCGCATTGTTAAATGATTTCTGTTTAAAATTCTGTCATGAAAGAGGATGGAGGATGCTTTCCTTTAAGGAATGCTAATTATTTTACTTTTAAGGCGTCTAAAAGACAATAAGCCCTTTCACCCCRTCCTGTTTATGAAACCAACAGCATTCATACTGTGTTCTGCGGCGCACATCTTCACTTCTGCTGTTGCTCAGAAAAAAAAAAAGAAAAAAAATCTCACGACACAAACGTCTCTCAGGTCTTGCCCACGTTCCCACGGACTCAGGGGAAATCTTTCCACCTACTCCCCCTCCCCCCATTATGTCAGCCGCCTCCTCAGCATCCAACAGCAAGATGGGGACATCCATAAAACATGAAGCTGGCTGGACAGGAAAAAGGGCGGCGGTGGTGAGGGTTAGCAAAGTGTGTGTGTGGTGTGTGTATCTAAGAGAAAGCTGAGATTGAGACATAGATACACATCTTACTACACACTCACTCACACACACACCGTGCTGCATCACTGCCAGCCCCCGGTAAGCACGGTCAGTCAGTTGCAAGGTTGTCTCCATCAGTGTGAATTTATATCCCGGACGTCCAGATTCGATCCTGCCTCAGCAGCTCTCTTGATATTTTATCTCGCCCTCGCAGATGTCTCATCCAACAGCTTCACCTCAGCTTGCTGCTGTTTCCCAAACACCTTCTTCTCTCAGCTTATGCTCTGCATGCTAATCCTACTGAAGTGATTATCAATAGAACGGCTCATTATTAAACCACAATGAATGACAAAACGCAGCAGACGTAACTTCATGCCTCAACAAAGACACAAAACTTCCTTTATGTTCAGTTTGTAACAGAGTTATTATTTTCATCTTGAAAAAGACTGATTGTAGAAATCTGGCAGTAACGCTTGAGAAAAGGATGAAAATTTGCAAGTGGATTGGTTTGGTAACTTTGGTTATTGTTATGCTTAGCAGTTAGCACAAAAAG